AGCGGCACCGTCCCAAGGCTGCCCTCTAGAGGAAGGGAAGGGCCAGCCACTTCTTGAGTATCCTCTACCTGGAAAACCTTGGAAAGGGGCCTAGAAGGCCATTGAGTCCAAACCCCTGCTCAAGACAGGAACCCAAATCAAAGCAGACGCGACAGATGGGTTTCTTTAGTTTCCTCTTGAAGGCCTCCAACGTTGGAGCGCTCACCACCTCCCCTTGAGGTCATGGGTTCTGTTGACATACTGCTCTAACAGTTAAGAAGTTTTTCCTGATATTCAGCCTAAATCTGGCTTCCTGGAGCTTGAGTCCATGATGACGTGTCCCGCACTCTGGGATGACAGAGAACAGATCCTGCCCCTCCCTTTCAATAGGCTTTTGGTCGTATCTGTGTGGTTTTATTTGTTACTGTCCGCTGTGAGCCGCCCAGAGTGTGTGTTTTGTCAGTGGTATAGAATAGAAATCGAATGAATGAATGAATGAATGAATGAATGAATGAATGAATGAATTTCGCTGCTACGATCCACCTGTCCTCGATTCAGCCTTGACAGCGAATTGGAGACCCTGAGCAATGCCTTGACCAAAGCCACTCTGGAGTCTTGCAGTAAAGCATCACCCAAATCGTCAGGTAACTCAGCAGTGGGACCCTGTGGTGCAGTCCCTGTATATTCACGTGCCTGCGTTTGTGCATCCATGTGCCCTCCTCTGCCTGTCTGGATTATGAACCCACTCAGGGCGGGAGGCGGTTCTCGTCTCCCCTCTCCAGTCGCTTCGGATTTAAGCTGCGAGTCGAAGAGCAGCTTGACAGCACCTCGCAGCAACAAGCGAGCCCATTGGGGAGGAAGGACTAAAGAAACTAGCCAGTACCGGGTACCCTTTGGAATTTTAGATTATCACTAGTTAGTTATATTACATTATTTAGAGATGCCCGCGTGGGGTAGTAAAGGCAGTCCTGGCTGCCTTCCTGGGCAAAGCAGCCTATTTTGAAAAGCGCTGACGGTGGCTGCCCTTCTTCTTCAGGGGCAGAGTCCCTAAACCCAGAGGTTTCTGCAAGAGGGAAGGAAGGCCTGCCTCTGTACTCAGTCGTTCCTCCGTGTCCGGCGACAGTCAAGTTGCTGCACACGGTTAAGTCCGCCGTGGTCCATGACGGACGGTCAAGGACGGCTTTTCAAGCCTCCTTTTCAAATCCTTCATAAAGGTGCATGATTGAGTCCTTTTTAAATTTTTGAAAATGGCTGAGCATAAGATTTCTGCTTCAGTCTGGGGGCCGGTCGGTGTGGGAATGTATTCCATCGCGTTCTGGGGGAGGCTCCCTTGGCCCACTCGGGTTTGCCATTCGGAAAGGTCTTGTCTGCTAGCCTTTAGCTTCGCCAGTCTCCAGACGGATGGATGTGAAGGAGTCCTTGAAGCTGACCAGCTGCAAGATTGTAAGACGTTCTGTACAGATTACGTCTGACAGGTTATAATTTTTCTTGCTCAGTTGATTTTCCCATTTCCTTTTTTTTTCCAGCTAAACTGTCCTCGGTGAAGCAGTCACAGCTAAGGAATTTCCTGTCGAAGAGGAAGGTGCCCCCTGTAAGGTCAACTGCACCAGGTACCCACCCCACCCCACCTCACCT